TTCTGCTGTATCTACGGAATTTTGAATATTAACCACGGCAAGTTCGGTTGCTAGAAGTTCTGTTGGGCTCTTTTTTAAAATCTGTTTCTTCGGAGCCTTATTCCTCGTGTCCATTGTTTGAAAGCTCCACATGTTTTGGTTCTGTTCCCATCGCTGTTGTCGACGTCAGGTCCCTGGGGTACATCCCTCCTCCGAATCACAGGGCCAGCTGTGTGTGTGTGGCACACGCCTTCTCGGTCTCGTGCTTTCTCTATCGTGAGCTGGTCTTCAGGGGGCTTTTCTGCGGGAAAACCACGGGGCGGGGAGGCCCCTTGGGCAGCGTTTCTCCAGGGCGGCCAGCCAGGCGTCGTGGTCCCGGAGACCCTTCCAAGTGGTCTCTGGGATCAAAGCCGTGTTCCTAATAACAGCAACGCTGCCACATGCTCTCGGTGAAAAAGATAAATAGAAGGCAATTTCATTTAAGGATGTCCTTGATGAAGTAGGAAAAGTTCTTAATTTTATGATCAATCGCATCAAATCTCAACCCTTGAGTAAACATCTTCTCCAAACTCCACGTGGCAAAGCGGGAAGAACCAGAAAACCAAAAGAATGGTGACTTCTTCCCCAAAAAGCACCTGGTGCAATTATGTGGACTGTGAGCTGAATTAGATACATTTTTCAAGAAACGTCATTTTTTTTTTTAACTAGCTAAAAATGACTAACAGGCAAACTGGTTATTCAAACTTGGGTTTTGGGCAGACATTTTCTCAAGAATGAACAAAGACTATCGCTTCAACGAAAACAATCTACAGTATGTGTTGCCGATAATAACATTTGAGCTTTTAAGCCCAAATCGGAATTTTGAAGAACTTTTATCTGCCGCTCTGGGTTCAACAGGTTCTTCTCATAAGACGTCAGTAAATACAATAAGCGGGAGTTTTTGACGCCATGTCGGGGAGCGTGTTGGCGTCCAGATCTGCACACCCCAGACATCCGACCTTCTCCAAATGGCCAACGTCTGATGTCACAGAACCGCACGAGGGCAAAACATCCGCTCAGAGTGCAGGACAGGCCAATGGATTTTAACGTAACTTGGTACAAAACGTTCACTGATGTGGCTTCCGATGTCACACGGCAGTTACCTTAGGAAGCTCCCACCTGACAAGCCGCGTCACAGTGTTAAAGAGAAAACGTCCACCGTCGTCGGAAAGGACTATGAAAACTCTCCCTCCTCCAACGACCTCCCTGTGTGCGGCTGGGCTGTTTTCACACAGTCCCATCAAAAGCAACGCATCACAACAGACTGAGCACGGAAGCACACGTGAGAATGCCACGGTCTTCAGTCACGTTACAGAGAGTCTTACCACAAAGAAGCACAGTGCCTGTCCTCTAAATAGCTATATTGTGAAAACATTAGTTCATCATAGAGATATGTTACTTATAACAGCATGTAACGTGTTCATCGTTGTTATTTTTGGATAAACTAATAAATATTTTCAAATTATTGCCATTTGAGTTTCTAACACAGTAAGGATTGTGAGAATTAACCCACAGGGGTAAAAGCTCTTTGTGTAATTCAGGACTCTTTAAGACTGAGACACGAGGGGCGCCTGGGTGGCTCAGTCGGTTGAGTGTCCGACATCAGCTCAGGTCAGGATCTCGCGGTCCGTGGGTTCGAGCCCCGCATCGGGCTCTGTGCTGTGCTGACAGCTCGGAGCCTGGAGCCGGCTTCGGATTCTGTGTCTCCCTCTCTCTCTGCCCCTCCCCCATTCATGCTCTGTCTCTCTCTCTCTCTCAAAAATGAATAAACGTAAAAAAAAATTTAAAAAAAGACTGAGACACGAAGCTGGAGAGCTTCAACAGGAAAACTGTGTCACCTCGGTTTCTGGGCAGCACCCAGACTCCCCACGCAGGAGAAGTTCTGTCTTACTTGCACACCGGGCCAGGACAATAACACCTAAACTTTCATGCGTTACCGTGTCTGATAACTCACTTCAAGTTTACCAGCATCCACCGGTGGGGTCATTACTCCTCGTTTCTGGAGGACTCCCCTCACCGAGGAGTCCAGTGACTCTATGCATTTCAGCCGATATTTGCTCAACATCACCCAGCGCCTCCAGGCACGTGCTGGGAGCAAGCGGCGTCTCCTTGGTCCTGGTCTGCCGTCCTCCTGGGGCCAGAGCCCCCATCCCCCACCCCCGGAGCCCCTAGAATTCCGTCCTCCGTCGGCAGTCCTCTGGCCGCACCCCTGGCCACCAGGAGACACATCCCACGGGGACAGCAGGCAGGCAACCGCGTGCGGCACCTGTACAGGGCGGGTGTGTGCCACGCCGTGGCCAAATGCAGAACACAGAGTCTCAGCCCGAGGCCCCAAGGGGAGCCAAACCACCGCTACGTCTCCAGAAAAATGAGCAGATGCGGCGTTTGCCCTCCAGGACCTATCCAGCACGATGGCAGTCATTTCCCGATTCTAGCTGGACACGGTCATACAGCAGAGTAGAAAACCGCAGGCTTCAGGGCTCACATGTGGGTCCCAACACGTGTTCCTTGATCCCCGGCAAGGGACCTCTCTGCGTGGGCTCTCTCAGGGCTGTGACATCGGCTCTGCCGTGAGGCCGAGGACCACCGAGGGCACACTGGGCTGTCACTGCCTCCTCACCCCTGTCCCGCTGTGACTGCCACTGATCACGGGAAGCCCAATCACGGGTGAGGGAGCCACTGCACCGACTTGGCCCAGCGACTCTGCGTCCCTGCAGCCCCTCTGGCACGTGGATTTCGCACAACTTCCTAAAATGCAGCGCACCAAGCGGAGAGCCTGCACTTAACAAAGCCCCACGGTGTTCTCAATGCCCGGCAACCGAGCTGTGAGGGGACGAGAAGGTGCTGGAGGAAGACGGCTCCCGCGTCTCCAGAGAGTGGCGAGCACAGGGCAGGTCCAGGAGCAAGAGAGGGAGCAGGGCAGCGGAAGCCAGTGATGCCGCGGGTGGGGTAGCGACTCCCAGCCCCTCAGGGCGCTGATGTCTCGGTCGGTCCTTCCTCCCGCTCCTGTCAGCTCAGACCCTCGCACTCGTACGAACGAGAGGGCAGGGGCACCAGCACCCACGAAACATTCCCCCGGTCGAGCTGGCCCAACTCAGGGAATGACCCATCTCCCCAAGCCCCCTGGGGCTGGTAACCGGGCCCCTCGACACTGCCCGTGGGAGGGCCGCGTGGCTCCCGTCGGCCTGGGGAGCGTGGTGAACGCATGTGCACAGGCCACCCTTGTCAAGAAGCCCCTTCATCGGACAGCAAGCCTCCGGTGAGAAATGAGAAGCCAGTGTCGCTTCCAGGGTGAACTGACTTTATTTACAAACATAAACAGGATGATCCTGCATTTAAATGGCAGAAATTCCATCCCTCCAGGTCAGAGAAGTGACATTTGAAATCGATAAAGTCTCGCATTATGATTCAATCTCTTTTCGAAAGGGGACAAAAATGTCTTCAGTTTTGGGAGAAAGACCAAAACATGAAAACATCAAACAATGTAGGGAAATGATACATCGACGCTTGGGCCAGAACACGGCAGGCAGGTTTTTCTCCACAAGATGCAAACAAGGCTCCCGGGCCGCAACTGCAGCAGGACCCTCCCCCGCTCTGTCACTGCGCGGTCATCAAAGGTAACGGGAACCCACGCTGTCCGCTCCAGCACAATCATTCTGGCTACTTCACTCAAATTAAGCCTCGGGCCCCGCTCCCGAGGCCCGCCCCGCCCCCCCCCCCCCCCCGTGTGGGAGCCTCACTCGGACCACCTCTAAGCCAGCAGCCGAGCTGAGGCCTCCGCAGGTACGGGCGTCGGGCACGGCGCCGCGACAACGGTCAGGAAAGCCCAGCCCGAGAAGCGCACCCCACGAGTTTCTCTCTTCGGGTGGAAGTGCCCCTACTCAGCTGTGACAGAAGGGGTCCCGGCACGGCGCGCAGATGCCCGCACGGCCTCCGTCCCTGGGGCAGCCGTCTTTGGGATGAACCTAGCCTGTGGGGTCCCTCGGAAAACCTCCAGCAGCTCCGGCCTTTCCCCCACCGCCCCCGTCACCCTCCAGGTCTCACTGCACTCCCGAATCGGGTCCTCAGGAGCACGCGTCTCAATATCCTCACGACACCCCTTTGGGTCTACCCTGCGTCCCACACTGAGCTCCGGGGAGGCCTTAGCCTGACACTCCCGTCCCTCCCCAGGGCGGCGTGCGGCACCCATCACAAAGCACACATCTAGGAAAGGTGTGCAGGCACGCAACGCGCCTGAGACGGGCCGTGGTCCGTGTCCTCGGCCACTTCCTGCGACGCCGAGAGGCCCCAGTCCTCATTCCTGCTCTGCGTGGGGTTCTTCGCCCAAACCACTTTCCCAAAACCACCCCCAGCACGGGGAGACCCACAGCCTTTCTGGCAAAATCCCAGCCATCGGTCTGACAGACACCAAGTCCACAGAGACCCGACCACGGGGGGCAGGCCTCTGGCAGCTTGCGCCTCCTGTGGGACCAGGCCCAGCTGCGGTTCCTGGGACGATCAGACCCCTCAGGGCCAGCTGCTCCTAGGCCCAGGGCAACAGGGGAGAGGCTGAGGCCTAAACCGTGTGCCCTGTGAAGGGCGGGTGGCCCTGAATCCAGTTCTCCGCGTGTGGACGGCGAAACGGCTCACTGAAGACAGCCTACATTTGGTGCCGGTGCCACTGGGCGTCACGGGCAGCAGAGCAGGAAAGAGGGGAGTGTGCGGGGACCAGACTCTGCAGGCGAGGGGACAGCCCCACCCTCTAGGAGCCCTGCCGCGCTCTGCTGCTGGCACCGTCTCCAGATGCAGGCGCGCTCGCACGGGGTCTCTCACGAGCCGTCACCCCGCAGAGGGGAGACACGCCCGGGTGTAGAAAGGGAGGCCTCCGAGGGGAGCAGCGGCCAAGCCGGGCACGGAGGCAGGTGGCAGGCCCAGGGCTCCCGGTGGCCCTGGTTTCAGACCGGAGCAGAGTCGGCCTGGGGTCCGGGCCGGCAGGGGCTCACCTGAATACCGTCCAGCAGCCTGCTCATGCACCAGTACGTGTCGGCCTCCACGTTACGCAGCACGTCGGTGGGCACGCGGGAGACGTCGGCGGCATCCACGTCCTCCTCCTCTGTGGGCCGGGAAGCATGGAAAAGACAGCGAGCGGTTAACCCATGGGACACACACCACAGGGCGGGGCAGGGGCAGGGGCGGGGGCGGGGGCCGGTCTGAGACCCAAGGTAGGGCCGGGGCCCATTTGTCCCGCTCCGGCTACACGCCTCCAAGTGTTCCCCCTCATCACCTACTGGTTCTCAATTTTAACACCTAGTTAGTTGCAGGTAATTAATATTCTGAGTCTTCTCCAATTAATTAACATAATTAATATATTGTAAATTATTGCTTCTCAGGCATTTTGCATCCTAATCAGAGAGGGCCTAAAATAGATTACTTACTCCTGACACAGATTTGAAAGTTTTCTCATAAGATGTTTAAAATCCTGCTTCTCACACAGTCACATACTCATTAGACAATAATTTCTCTAAACCCTGGTCTCCAAGGTTAGAGTTTCCAAAGCCATGCTGGACGGAGGCCCCTGTGCTGCAGGCGAACACCCAGGAAGCAGCGGAGGACGTGCGTGCAGAACAGGGGACGGTGCTCTGAGCAACCTCTCTCTTCGAGGGTAAAAAACCCAGAGAGAAAATTTAAACATGGGGCGTCTGGGAGCCTCAGTCAGTTAAGCGTCCAACTTCGGCTCAGGTCACGATCTCACGGTTTGTGAGTTCGAGCCCGCGTTGGGCTCGCTGTCAGCACAGAGACCACTTCGGATCCTCTGTCCGCCCCCTCTGGCCCTCCACCACTCACACGCTCGAGCACTTGGTGCCTCCCTCCCTCCCTCCCTCCCTCTCTCTCTCTCTCTCTCTCTCTCTCAAAAATAAAGATTAAAAAAAAAAACTTTTAAAATGCAAAACAGATGCCTGATTGAAATGGTTTATCAGAAGTTTGAAAGGACTAATTTCAGATCCTTACAAAAACTGCTATCCTCCAGCATGAAACTCCTAAATGTTTCAAAAATTGAGTATTCTACTTTTTTATTTACTTTTGTTTTATTTTGCCAACATGCACGGCATCTTTGCAAGGCAAATCTTTAAGAAAAGAAGCAATTCCACCGAGAATATATTTAGAAAGTTCTAAGTGGGCAGAAATGACAATAATTATAAGAGTAATAATTGCTAACACCTGTTGAGCAGCTGTTGGCCGCCAGGCGCTCCTCTCCGCTGTTCACGCGGACGAGCTCGTTAACCTCCGTCACCCGTCTGTTATCACCAGCGCTGCACCCTTGGAAACGGGGCGCAAACAGCGGGCGCAGCCCAGAGCCCGCGTCCACGAACCCCCACGGCACCACCATGCCATGCTCACTCCCAGAGGGCGCCGGGGCTCACGCTGCACGAGGCCTCGAGCAGCGGCTCCTCGGAGGCTCCCTGACACCGCCTCGCCTCGCGCCAGAGCCACTGGAGCCACCCTCCTCTCGCTCCCTGCTCGCAGTGACACGCACGATGGCAAAAACAGGCCGGGGGGGTCCGGGTGCCAAAGCCCGGCCAGGCCCTCCACGCGGGCCACGCGAGTCTCCACAGGCAGGCGCCACAGGGTTCACGCTCATGAGGACGCGTCCTGGCCAACCGTGCTCTCAGTCCCCGGGGCGCCCAGGAGCACATGTGTAGGGACTGTGACCAGACGGTCACTCCGTCCCCCTCACCCATTCAACTCCCTCGCTCATTCAACAAGCCCTTCTGTGTTCTGGTTGGTTTGGGGTTTATTTTATGGAAACGCGGTTCACGTACCATAAAATCCACCTTTTTAAAGCACATGATTCAGTGGGTTTTAGCGTACTCCCAGAGTCAGATAACTGTCACCATCACATAATTCCAGAACATTCTCAACCACCCCCAAGCAAGCCTATATGCAGGCACTCCCCCAGCGCCTGGCAACCAGCAATCGGTGCCTTGCCTCCGTGGGTCCTCCTGCTCGGACATTTCAGGTAACGGGACCGCACAGCACAGGGGCCGTGTGTCTGGCGTCCATCACTCAGCACCGGGTTCCCAGGGCGGATCCAGGCCGCAGCCTGTGCCAGCCTTCTGTTCAGTCCTCTTTAGGATAGGATAACATTGCGATGTACGCATGAGCCACACTGCCTACCCCTGTCCCTTGTGGGACACCGGGCTGTCCCCACACTGGGGTCATGCGACAACACACAGCAGTGATCTCTGTATGGTGGCGCTGTCCCTACACTCCAGGGCCTGGAGTGCAGAGGTGAGTAAGAGGCAATGCCCCCCCACCAAGTCCAGAGCCCCTCCCAACACAGGATGTGCTGAAGAGAGCCCCCAGGCTGGCCGGGCCGGCTCTGAGCTCCCTCCTCCCAGCCTGCGCGTGCCCGTGACACGTGCACTGTCCCCAGCTGCCCCACCGGGCTGACACTCTCCCTCCCACACCCGGGCACCCCTCTGCCTCACCCCGGTGCAGCCCGGCAAGGTGCCTGGCCTCACACTCGGCTGTCCCCGCAGGCCAACGTCTGGCCTGAGCACACCCTCCGACGGAGCCCCACGGCGGAAACGTTGGCTCGGGACGTCTGGAGGCATCCACTCCGCCTGTTTACAGAGGAGGAAACTGGGTCTCCCGGGGCTCACTGGCCAAGCGCACGAGGTCTGCCCGACATGACGCCGTCCTGCTGGAAGATCAAGCTCGCAGGCATGAGTGTAAGTGGCCTCCTCTGGCTTGGGCGGAATCAATCCAACATCCCACCAAACTAGAGCGGATTGATGTTACCTTCCAGTCCCGGGAGCGGGCTCCGTGACGATCATCAGGGGACTCCTCCTGAGACGTGTGCCATCAACAGTCTCTCTTTGGAGGGCCTTCAAAGCACCGAGATGTCCCCTCAGCTGTCACAGCAGGGAAACAAAGCCTGCCTGGCCTCCAGCCCTCCCCTAGCTCCCAGCGGCGCCCCCAGCGCAGAGACACAGGGCACAGGCGGCAGGCTGACGCGCACGAGCCTCGGAGACCCTTCTCTGTCTGCTCAGCTGGCTTACTGCTTTATCCAACACCAGGTTGGCTGGGCAGCCTCCATTACGTGTCACTTCCCACAACGGGCTGTTTGTTACTCCTCAAGGTGATGAGGTAATGGCATTTAACCCAGAGAAACCCTGTGCCAATCTGTCTTCCAAAAGCTCAGGGAATGGGAATGACCCTCATTATCACAGTGAGTTAAATGTCCACCCTCCCAGGGAAGACACCCGCCCACATGTGGGAAGGCACAGAGGGCGGCACAGAACGCTCCAGAAGCCCTACGCCGCAGTCACAGGGTCAGAGCCGACTACAGAAACTCCCGAGGCTGGCACTGCCGGCCCCTGGGGGTCCCCGCAGGAGACTGGGCACCAGCGGTTTCTGGGGTCACAGCCCGGACCACACCAAGAGCAAAATCAGCACGTTTAGCACAGGTCCTGTCGGTGGGACGCTAACTTACCGAACCATCCACTGTGAGGCCCGGGAGCCTCACCACTGCGGGGCGGACACAGGTTCTGAGTTAAGACCCCAAAATGGCCAACGGTTGTGACCGGTTTTAACCCAAAGGTACATGCCTCCCCCTGGGCATGCCGTCTCCACATCCCTGGGGCAAGGAGGGGCACCAGGCGGGGAGGGAACCTGAACAGGGAGCCACCGGGGAGCCCTGGGGCTGGCAGCCATGGAGCCTGTGCCACATAGACGTCGCCCCCAAACGTGTGCCACGTCGAGTGACAGGGGAGAGGCCAGGCGCGCTGCCCGCTGAGATCGCCAACGAGAGGAAGCCACGGGAGTAGAAGGATTCCAGGCAATCCCACCGTTCAAAAGAAGAAACAATTCAAAGGAGGAAATGGAACATTCAAGGAAAAAAGAGAACAAGCAGAACTTGCTGTCACATGGAGGGGCGCCCCAATCCACACCGCAGGGGCCTGGCCAGAGCAGGGGCTCTGGGGTGCAGAGCCCTCTGGGCCATGTGGATTTGGGCTTGGCTAATCCTGACCCACGCCACACAGCCCGCAAGCTGCTTGAGGCTGCCGGCTGCCACGGGAGGTGGGTGCCGCACAGAGCACCCCTGGACTGGCCCCTCCACGCCCTCCACGGCCTTCTCCCAGCCAGGTGGTACCACAGGCCCCGGAAGGCCAGGGAGGGGTAGCGCGGACTCTCGAGAGCCATGTTTATGCCCAACACATGACTGAAATTAATGGAATTTAGGCCACCCTGTTTCATTTGAAACTGGACCAGACCCTGTGTCCTACTTTGTCCCGTGAGCACGAACATCACCGCCAGCACGTGCCACACCGCGGGAGCACCACCCAGTCCTCCTCCCACGCTGTCCGCACACCACCTTTCAGGGCCGAGCCCTGCACCCCACGGGCCGCGAGCTGAGAAAGGGGCAAGCTCTGGTCCCCAAGCCTCGGGCGGCAGGGAGGCCAGCATGGCCCCGGCTCACCCAAGTGGCACCTGGGGACACAGACAAGGCACCGGCCAGCCCAGGGCAGGTCAGCAGCCTCACGTGGACCACAACTACACGTGAAGGCACAAGATGTAAAACAGCCGTCTACTTTAGAATATCTCACTCGCCTTCTCCAGTCATAAAAAGGCTTTAAGAGACAATTTAAATAAATTCTTTGAAAACGCTACCCTGCCATGTTATTGCTGAAAACGCAATTTGTAACGTAATCCCATCTTTATCAACAACGCCATTTCTATCAAAAACTCCCGCCTTTGCACGTCGTACATACACTCGTGCAGAGAACACTGCTCAGAAAGATGCCAGAGACAGGACTGTGGTGCCCCCGGGAAAGGTGGGGAGGGGAGAACTACCACCACTCTTTACTTTTTACAGAAGGGTAGAGAATAAAGAGAGCAACGAATGTTCACATAGCACTTACGGCTTTTGCAATAGGGGGAAAAATACTGTTTAAGCAGCGGGGATGGTTTCACGAAGGTCTATCTTTTCTACAGATAAACATCCCTAGAGAAGAAGTTCCCAAGGGCGGTGGTACTGTCCTTCTAAGTGCTCCGAGAAGCTCGTGGAGCATTTGGGGGTCAGAATGATTAGGGTGAGGGGACCTGCTG